GCTGGCATTATTGATCATAATATAAACTGGTAAAATGGACTGAACAATTTATTACACTACCTTTTGAGTTTCACGGTTTGAGTCACAGCCGTGGTTGATAAACTGAGACAAGTTCCCCTTGTAGGTGGCATCAATTAGCTGAACAAAGAAGGAATTTTAAAGAAGCTATAACTCATTAAGTAACAAAACCATGAACTATAATGATTAGTCCACCTACATGTACTGTATTACATATAATATTTAAAAAGATGGGTTCTTATTGGAAGGAGGGCACTGAATTGAGGGGGGTGCTGATTGCTCTCCCCTACTGATTGCCCTATGGTTGAGGCAATAGAAACAGGTTTTCCTAGTGTCCCTGTTATTTAGGAAAGTGAGGAAGGAGGGGGGAGGTGCTTCTTTTAAGATGGGTGCTTAAGGCCTGAGGGATGGACATCTATTTGGGAGAGGGTGCCTATCAGAGCTTAGGCTCTGATTCAAGGAATAAGCATATAACAAAATTTAATTTCTCACAATGGATGATTTCAACATCATTTACTCAAGCTCAATGCTAGGTGTAAGTCACATATAAATCTAGTAAACAACTTGGCTGGCTATGGCGTTCCTTGTAACTCAGTTGATAAAGAATTTGAAAATGATAACAGGCTGGAGATCATAACATTGAACTGACTGGAGTACATGCCATTTAAATATGTTCTTTGTCCACACAGTTGACAATTGAATTACAGTTAACCCTTTAACTCCCAAGATCTGATTGTTAATTCTCTCCTGTAGCTGCTTCACATCTCCTTGTAAATTGGTTATGAGAACTTGGTGCTAGATCAAGATAGCAGCTTCTCCCTGATAAGTTTGAGTATTCTCATTACCTGTTTGCTGAATAATGTGTGGATATAATAGGGAGAAGTTTCTTGTCAATCACCTCTGAGAGTTAAAGGATTAAGCAGGATTTTAGATACGAATCACAGAAGGCAGCAAGGAGGAGGGACTAAGGAGAGAAGGGATACCTCCTGACATGTACACAACCACTTGAAGGGATCTAGGGGAACACCAACCCTCCTCCCACCCCTCCCTCCATAAAAATGCTAAAACTTGGGTCTC